ATATATTTATATATATGGTTGACAGGCCTTAGTTGCCCTAAGCACAGTAACCAACAGTGCGGAAACGGATCCATCATTTGCTTCTATCAAGCCATTGGACGTCAAACAAATTTTGCTGCTCTCATTAGGGACTGGCACTTCTGCAGATTTTGCTGGGACATACACAACAAAGGAGGCAGCTAATTGGGGTCTTGTTTCCGGGCTATTTCATAATAATTCGAACCCTCTTAGCGAAATGTTATCTGAAGCAAGTATTATCATGAATGATTATTACATCGCCACCATCTATAGCCCTCTTGGTGCTGAAAAGAATTACCTCAGGATTGAAGTAAGACAATCTCGCTCAAAAACACTATAACACTCCTAATTACTCCATCAGTTCCATTTTATGTGGCGAAATTTGAATTAGCACGGAGTTAATTAAGAGAGAAATGAAGACTTTTGAAACTTATAATGTCAAAAAAGTGATAGATACTTGTAGAACTATAAAAGTTTCTCATCAAGGATAAGATATGATTTAAGTTAAATGGTTACAAACTTAGCTAGCGTTTGAACATAGATTTGGTTGAAACATGCAATAAGAGTTTTTGAAGTTGTGTTGAAAAATAATTTTTGGAAGTTGAAGTTGTGTTTGGACATGCATTTTATTTGAAAAAAAGTTGAAATTTGTGAATGGAAGAGAAGTTTTCACCCATAACTGTCCTAAACCAGTTTTTGAGAACTTGATTTATTTTTATAAACTGATCATATTCCACGAACAAATAATATTTTCAAAAAACTTTTGAAAAAAATTCCCAAAATTTATGGCCAAACAGAAGCTTAGAAAGTTGCCATTCTTTTTTTTTTTTTTTTTTTTTTTTTTTTTGCATTAGACTAAAAATAAAATGCTGTTACATAAATTGAAATAGAGGGAGTATATGATTATTTGAAGTTGATTAATTTAAGAGTGAAAAATTTCTTTACCATTTCCCTTCCTTTTATATTATGTTCCTTCCTTTGTATGTAATAACAGAAAACTACATTAACTGGCACTACTACCGAAATGGATAATGCTACAGAGGCTAATATGAACTTATTGGTACAAATTGGTGAAAACTTGTTGAAGAAACCAGCTTCCAATGGGAATCCTGAAACCAATGAGGAAGATCTAAAGAGGTAAGACATATATCTATGCACCATTATTCTTTATCTATTTAGTCTAACTTTAGTTCGAATTATAAATCTATTTTGTTGCTACTTATAATCACTGTCCTAATTTGTACGCAGGTTTGCGAAATTGCTCTCAGAAAGGAAGAAAAAAGGTGCAAACAAAGCCGACTCATAATAATTATGCTAAAGAATAAGCGCTTGTAAGGCATGCAGTAGGCCGTCAAGTCGTGTGTTGTTTTAGAATATTCGTGTTTTTCAATTTCAGATATAAAATGATGAGAGGGATAAGTTTCAAAAGAAATATCCCTCTCTATGTAATATAATTATAAGGACTATGTAAATTTTTGGTTGTGTTATTCTAAGTCAGACCAATGAAAATTAAAAAAAAATTGCCATTTTATGAATCTTTTTATTCATATATTGCTATTACTACCCCTCCCTTTGAACATAGATCCGAACTCCCACTCAGAAT